TTGCAATATATTGCTATCATTATTGTTATTATTACCATTCTTCCACTGATATTAATTTAACTACATGTCTCTTCTCGAGCACAGGTTCCGCTTATGGTTTTTTAAATGAATTTAGTCCGCCTTTGATGCCAACTGTTTTCTATTATCTTAAAATACTTTTGCTGTTAGTTACCATTTTAAATTTTGCTACCTCCAATTCAATAACAAATACGCTTGTTATTACGTCTCTACAACCAACTACATCTTGCTTTCCATTTGCAATACCGCTTCATATGTCTCGAAATAGTTATGCATACCCTGCATATATCTAGCCTTCCTGGCTCGTTTGGCATATCTTAAGCATGTTCATGTTGTCACCTATGCTCACCTCCATTTGCATATTTGTGCCTGTTTATGCCAAGAAATTAGCCGTTCTATAGTTAATTTTATCCCATTAATCTGGAATCTCTATTTAAGCTCAGCTCATCAAAATTTTTATCTTTGAAAAATGTTGAAATTTAAACTCTGATCACTTTCTTCAACAACGATAAGGCATTTCTCTTTCATAATCCTATTTCAATGACTATGGTTTGAGAATGTTTAAATATTTCTTTCTTACTATTTTACTCCTCATTGCTTAATCATTTCTGACACGATTTGCATTGTCTTCTATTGCATTTTTGTTCGATTCTTCCTCCACAATCCTTTAATTTTGCTTCAAGACTTGACCTTTAATTTTACTTTCATCTGTCCTGATTCGATAATTATTTCACTCCCATTTTTCATTGACTTGAGCTCGTGCTCCACTCGCACGGTACATTCAATTTAGTCTTTGTTTTTATTCGAAGTCCTCAATCCCAAAATACATTCATTCCTATCCTTTTTATGTTAAAATTTTCCTTAGGCTATATTGTCATTTCGGTTGCATTTCTTCTATTAACGGATAATGCTTAATCGCGATAATCTAAAAATTTACGCATGATTTAACCTTTCACTCATATTCTTAACATACTTTGAGTAAACTCTGCTGCTATGTATACAGATCATATTTACATAACGGTAGGATTTTATTTATGAAAAAAACGTTGTTTTTCTTTGTTTGGTGGTGATTCCCCAGTCTTATATGTTTGCTTTATCTGGACTCATTCCTTTTCCGTTTTCATGCCGAATGTCTGATTTATGCTCCTTTCTTTCTTGATTCCCCATGTCTCAGTTTCTTTGCTCCTCTGTATTAGCCACAAGTTTATTTTATACACGTGGCATGATTACCTTGCTGTTATCTTCTCCTTTTTCCCAACTTTTAGCTTATTGCTATTTTTTCTTACTATCTCCTTGATTCTCCAGTTTTATTTATCTGTTTCTTTATACTGCTATTGTATCTATAATACATTTTATTCTACTTTAATCTTGCCGATTTTTTATTTCGGCTTCATTAAATTTCCCGGTCACTTGGTTTCATATACATCATTTAACCATATTCCTGTAGATGTGCTAA